TATATATATATATATATATATATATATATATATATATATAGACACAGAATCCCAGAAACACTTGGATGACCTCTTTCATGAGCAAACTATTTTGCTCTTATGTTGAAATTTAAAAGCCCTGCTCATGTAGCAACATGATATACTAGACACATAAAATGTCCACGTAAATACAAAACACAACCAAATGACTTAGAGCAAAATCAAATGAAAGGAGAAAATTGTGTTTCCTCAAAAGAAAAAAAAAAGAAAATAGCCATTTTCACCCTAAGGCAACCCATGCTGGGGAAAAATACCATGTATAACATTGACAGAAATCATAGACCTCCCCACTGCACAGCGGATGGAATTGGGTTGCACAGGTGGGCAGGTACTCGAGGCCTTGGAAGGGCAGCAGATCTAAGAAATTCATCACCGCTCTCAGCCCAGAGCTGGGCAGGAGATGGCAGGGGCAGCCTGCATGCAGCCTCGTGATGGAGTGTGGAATGAGGAGGTAAATCAAAGCCTCCCATCAAAGGCTCATTTAGCCTGTCTTAAGTGATCATACAGAGAAAGGCAGCCCCATGCACAGGGTTCAAAGATGAGTGCTTTCACTTATACCACAGCACCCTGTCTTATATAGCATGGAAAAAAAAATAGGAAGGGTAGAAAAAAAGGAAAAACACATCAAAGCTGTCTGAGAACCCTATGCAATATAATCTCCCTTTCTTAAGGACAGCATACACTGTTAGAAAAATGAGAATGATTTTTCATAATGTGTTTGAGTTCTGCCTTTAATATTATGAGGATCCAGCTCCGCAGGCTTGGATAGCTGATTTGCAAGAGTCTTCTCTGTAGTCTCTTCTGTCCACTGCAATTATAACCCCCCCCTTTTTTTGGTACAGGAATTGAACTCAGGGGCACTGGACCACTGAGGCACATCCCCAACCCTATTTTGTATTCTATTTGGAGACAGGGTCTCCCTGAGTTGCTGAGTGTCTTGCTTTTGCTGAGGCTGGCTTTGAACTCAGATCCTCCTGCCTCAGCCTCCTGAGCCACTGGGATTATAGGTGTGTGTCATGGTGCCCAGCAGTTGCTTCCCATTTTGATGTGTGTATTACAATTCTCTTTGCAACTACAAGCTGCAGGTAAGTAATCTTATATTTGAGAGATTATCGTCTGTTAAATTTTAGTTGGACCAGGGACCCGGGTTCTATTGCTAGCATGCTAATTTTTTTTTTTTTAGCATGCTAATTTTTAACTTCTTTCTAACCAGCTATTTCAAGCCTCATACAGCATTTACTGTTTTCAGTATATACTGTGGGTATAACAACTTGCTTCACTGTACATGAGTGTTCTATAGGAAAAGAATTAAAACTTTCCCTGTACTCTCCTCTTTTTGTGTGTGCCTGTGAATTAATCTATCAACAAACAACAACACAAATTAGGAGGAAAGGCTTGCCAGTTTTATTTGTTGTGAATAATTTAATTTTTATGTGCATAGAAGCTGTCATAGAAAAAGAAGCAAAACAAACAAAGAAGCAGTTAGACCCAAGAGGTTTATATACCATTTTAACAAAGGATGATACATTGTGGAGAAGTGGGAAGACAGAGGAGAAGGTTTTGAACTTCTATGGGCAGTGCATGGGAGAAAGTAGACGTGTGTAGTGTTCACGGAAGAGAAGGGTCATTTAGGACAGTTTCTTCTTGCAGACCCACCAGAGTACCAGCTTTCTGTCTCCGGGGTAAAGATTTTCCTCTTGACACAGAAGAGGGGAGGAGAACATTATAAGGGGAAATGCATCTCCCATTTTTAGGCAGAAAGAAGGTGATATGGGGGCTTTGTAGGTTTGTTGCTTTTTAACTGCCTTTGGCTCAAAATAGTTCTTAAGCCAGTGTACCATTTCCAGGTGCTGTATTCTGGTTTCCTTCAATTCCTGTATTTTATATTCTCCTGTCTTCTTACTATGTATATATATATTAGACAGTTTCAATC